TCCAGCTGAAGGTCCAGAAGCTTGCTGAGCCCAGTGAAGGCTCCTCTTGGCAGGGCTAACAGCTGGTTGTGGGACAAGATGAGTTTTCCAAGGGATGTGAGGTTGACAAAGATGCCATCTGGAAGTGTGGCCAAACTGTTCCTGCCCAGGTCCAGCTCCCGTAAGTGTGGCATGGTGTCAAAAAGGCAGCAGGGGAGCTCCATGATATGGTTTGAACCCAGAGTCAGCAGCTTCAATTTGTTTAAACCAAAAAAGCCCTGAGGTGGGAGAACCCTGATGAGATTGTTGTCCAAGAGGAGTTTCTCCAGGTGAGGCAGGCTTCTCAGGAACATGGGTGGCAGCGCCCTGAGCCTGTTGCTCTGGAGGCTGAGCTCCAGCAGCTCCATCTGGCTGTCCAACAGTCCCTCTGGGAGGTCTTGCAACTCATTCTCATACAGCCGGAGAACCTGCAGCCGGGTAAGTTTGCTAAAAGCATTCACAGGAAGAGTTGTGATCCTGTTTCTAGACAGGTCCAAAAAGGTTAAATTGATGAGAGAATCAAAAATGCCTTCTGGAAGGGAAGGGATTGCATTGATATGCAGGGAGAGCTCTCCCAAATTTTCCAGCCCATCAAAGAGGCCTTTGGGGATGTATCTGAGTTGGCTGTCTCTCAGCTCCAGCCTCTGTAAGCTTGGGAGGTTTTGGAAAGTTCCCACAGATAGTTCTTCTAATGAGGCACCAGAGATATCCAAGTCCCTCAGCTTGTCCAGATTATCAAAGGCTCCAGGTTCAACTGTCTTGATCTTGTTGCCAATAAACAAAATCTTGATCAGGTTGGGCATGTACCTGAAGGCACCTTTCCTTATAGCAGTGATGCTGGTTTGCACAAAGATCATTTCAGAAATGAAGGGCTTTGCAATCTTTGGGATCTCTTTGACATCATTTTTTGTCCCTCTGTAGACCTGCTGGTAGTCTTTGGGCATTTCATATGGATCTTCACCCAGGATTTGATCTTGGCATTTATGGGGATGGAAGGAGAGGAAGAAAAGGAAAAGGAAATGCTGGTACATTGTCTTGGAAAAAAAAAAGGTTTAAAAAAATCAGTTATGAAGAACAAAAAACCTGTGTTCACAGCTCATGAATCGTGGCATCACACTGTTGTTCAGCTCTCGGGACTCTTCTACTCATATATCATAACTCATTCGATAAGAAAGAGAGAGACCATACAAGCAAACACACACTGCATTTAGATGAGTTCACTGCTGTGGTACAGAGGGATGGGGAGGGAGAGCGAGCCAGCTCATGGCTTGGCACTGGTAGATGCTTCAGGGGGACAAGGGCTGGACAGTGTGTTCTCTGCCCTCCTTCTCCCATGTCTCAGCTGCAGGCTTGGTGTCTGCCTGGGTGAAGAAGGCAAAGTGCTGCTGCCCATTAGTGCTGCCCCAGTGGGTCCAGTTAGTCAGCAGGGAAACAGCCCATTCATGCAACAACAGGAGCAGTCAGCCCTGCATTTGCTAATGGGGGATCAACAAGGGTCCCAGGAGGCAGCCAAGACCAGAGGATCTTGTGTACTCAGAATTTCCACACCATGCTGGGTGGACTTGCTATTTCCTTGCTGCTTCTCTCAGTTCAGGGCAATCATTTAAAACATGGTTCCTAAGCATCTCCTTTTCAGGATTCTTGCTAATCGCACCATATTTTGGCCTTAGTTGTGCAGCTCTGTCGGACAGAAATGAGCAGCAACCAAGCTTTAGAGCAAGGCTTGTTAAAACACTATGAAATGTCCATAGATGAACTCTTTATTACCTAAGGTTTAGGGCTCTGGTCTTGCAGGTAGGAAGTGAAGTCACTGATCCACACCCATTAGTAGAGCCCACCACTTCCATGGAAACATTTGGAAACACTCAGCTAACATATTAGCTGGGGTTTAAGGGCCGTGAACATTGCACTGGGATCGCAGTTTCCAACTTTTGATTTGCAGCCGTGGGTGGGAGCAGGGAAAACAGCTATAGGTTGCTTCTTGGTGTCCGTCAAAGCTGACATGCAAAAACCTTATGTTGGGAGGGTACATTAGCTGTGAGAAGTTTGGGTTTTTTTAAATGTTAAGAGCTCAGCAAATACAGGAGGCTGAAAGCCATTGGGTTTGAAGAGAAACCAATGGGAGGTGTTGACATTGGTTGTGCCGGCTGCCCTGCAGGGTTGCCCAGGGCAGAAGCCATTGCTGATCCCTGCCCATCCTCTCCTCAGGGAGACTCAGGTGGAGGAGCTGGGGCTGCTGGTGTAAAAGTGCCTGCTTCACTTCAACTGCAGGAGCAGCACAGTGGGTGAAATGTGCAGGTGGAAACAGCTGGGTGCATGGGGATGAAAACAGACAGTTCTGAACTGCAAAGCTCTTTTAAAACCCTCAGTGTGATCCCTTGCTTGTCCCACCCTCCTGCAGTGCAGGGTCATGAAGGGGCATCCCCATCCAGCTCATGGCAGTGAAGCCTCTCCTGCTTCTTGCTGCAAGGAAACAATCAACAGCCCCCCACAGGGCCCCTCCCAGAACATTTTAAAGAACAAAAAAAGCTTTTGTATCACTTACTTGGTGGAGCACTCACAGACAAGTCCAGGCTGCAGGAACAAACCACATGTGGAGTGAGGACACCGGATGGGGGTCCCATCACCTGGCCAGCTCTTTATCTGCAGCCCAGGCCCAGGGCCTGGTTTCAAGTGAGTTCAGGGCACAGGTCTGCGTGGGGAGATAAGGGACAGCCGGGGAGGCGGCAGCAGAGCTGTGCGCCGGTGTGGGAGGCCATGGCAGAAACCCCTCGGAGAGGACTCAGTCACGTACTCCCAAGCGTTATCTCCCTGCTCCACTTGACTAGTCACATCCAGGGAAACCTGAAGATTTCCAGGCCAGCCTGTTTTGCAGCCAATGGTCTCTGCAGTCCCATATCTCCAGCAGCATAACCCACCAGCGTCATAGGCACCACCCCCACCAACACAACAGTAAGCTGTTTCCTTCCTCAGGATTCAGCTTATGTAGCTAAAGGTGCAGTTCTGGAGCCATTTGTTTATGCTCATAATAGTGATAACATGTGTGGCTGGACAGATATGCCGACGTCCACGCTCTGTGCTCAGCCCCACAGCTCCACACCAGAGGGCTGGGGCTGAGTGTCCTGTCCTGCACCCTAACACAGGCCAAAGACCCTCCTGCAGGGACACCCAGTGCTGCTGGCTGGTGCAGGGCATCCTGTGGGAAGAAACACTCTTTTTGATGCAAAGACTTGAACTGACTGGGTATCCATCACTTCCCAACGGGTAATTGCACTGATTGCATTTAAACATGTCTTCTTTAGTTTTCACCTGCACTTCTTAAGGCTCAGCTTGTGCTTGCTGGGCTTCATTGCACCTTACTTGGCAAATTTAAAAACAAACCACTGCACATTTTCAACAGCCTTATTCCTTTCCAACATCAATGCCGTATGCATCCAGGTACCCACTTGGTGCCAGGTTGTTCCAGAAGCTGCAGAGTGGCGGGAGCTGAAGTGCATGAGGGGACAGAGCTCACAACAGGGTTGCAACCAGCCACCCCAGGCCACAGTGTGGCAGCTGTGCCAGGGTTTGGGGAACTGCATCCAGCTGTAGTACCCTTGGTCCAGGCTTGGAGGTGGCCATGCCAGCATCGCCTGGGAGATGTCTGAAGCACAGTGGCAGTCCCCCATTTGGGAGAGACAGCAGGATGATTGTGCAGAATTGTATCTGGGAAGCAGTGCTGCCTGTCTGCATTGCTCCCAGGAGCATGGGGCTGGCAGTCATAGAACCATGTAGGTTGGAAAAGATCTCTAAGATCACCGAGTCCAACTGTTAACCCAGCACTGACAAGTCCACCACTAAAACATGTTCCTAAATGCCACATTCACACATTTCTTTAACCCAGAGGCTAAAGCAGGGCTGGGATCGCAGCCCACTGCCAGGGCAGGTGGGGCCAAGGGGAGACCCTGCCCACCCCAGGTGGGCAGCAGCAGGGCAGGAGCTCCAAGGACACACAGCCCAGCAGTGGGGCCGGGCCGGTCCAGGCGGGGAGGGGCGCTCCGAGGCGGGCGGCGGGGCTCAGGGAGGGATCCCCCGGCGCTGCCCGGCCCGCGGAGCCCTGTCCCTATCGCCGCGAGATGGTGCCGCAGCACCGCCCCACCACCACGCACAGACACACACGCAGTTACACCCCGGTGTGTGCACCCACACCCGCTCCTCCCGCGGGAGCACCCACCTTGCCTGCCACCCCCTGCGTGGGCAGCGCTGCTGGGACTCTGTGTCTCCTCTCCACGGGTCACAGAATCAGCATCACAGGATAGATGAGGGGTGGAATGGGCCACTGAAGTCATCTAATCCAACCTCCCCGCTGAAGTAGGGCTCCCTGGGGTGCGTTGCTGAATGCTCTGTTTAGGTGGCTTTTGAGTATCTTCAGAGAAGGAGACTACAGCCTTGCTGGGCAACCTGTTCAGTCACCCCACAGTAAAGTTCTTCCTCCTGTTCAGGTGGAATTTCCTGCATTCCAACTCCAGGCTGCAGGGCTGCAGACCAAGCCCTGGCAGGGTAGGGGGGGACCAGCCGGTGGATGCCTGGGCTGGAGCTCACCCTGCAGCCAGGCAGCCCATGCCCCTTGCTGGGTAGTCAGTAGCACTCACCCATGCTTCCCTTGGACACCCCAAAACCATGCCCTGAGAGTTATTGGCAGGCTGCAGCTGGGTGTCTGCAGTGCCAAGGGAAGCAGGGCAGGAGGTGGGGCTGGTGGGCTGCAGTGGGCAGAGATGAGCACACCATGAGCGTGCCAAAGAGCCACCTACTCACCACAATGCACCTGCACCCACACCATACCATGCACAGCCCCAGACCAGACCCCAGTGGATCACATCGACCTTCACTGCCTCTCCCAAGTACACAGGCAGATGTGGGGGACCAGAACAATTCCTCTCTCTGCCATAGGAACTGGTTGCACAGAAATAATATATACATTTTAATTATATTTGAAATATACAGGAAACACATAGCTTGGAGAATAAATACCACCAGGCCAGCTGTTGTGGAGAGCTCAGTGATGGCTGGTGACCAAGGCAGGGGTAGCAGAGCAAGACTGGGTGCTGTTTCCCAGGCTGGTTCAGAGGTTTCCAGTGCAGAAGCTGGCACCTGCCTGAGCTCTAGGGCACAGCAGGGAGACCTGGCGATGTGGCCTCATTCCCGCTCTGTGCTGTGACAAGGACACTGACCTGCAGTGTGCCACAGTGGGAGTGCAGCACCCAGGCACCCTGGTACGCCGGCCCCAACCCCTGCACTTGCTCAGGAGGAGGAGGAGGAGGGAGGCGAAGGCTGAGCTGCTGGCAGCTTGTGGCATCACAGACCATGCTTACAGTGCCCTCAGGGTTGCTGTAGGTGCACTGTCCTGGAGCATCCCTGTCCCAGCCTTCCTCTGGAGGGACACCAGGTCCTCCCGGGCACTCCAGCTGCCCCCGGGGGACCTGCAGCAGGGACTGTCCCTGGAGAGCAGTTGGACTGGCACAGAAGGGTTGCCCATGGATGAGGGGCTCGGCAAAGCCCTGGAGCCAGTGCAGGAGATAGGCAAGGCGGCAGTCACAGGCCCAGGGGTTGTCAGACAGCCCCACACGCACCAGCTCATCATTGGCATCAAAGAGCCCCAGAGGCAGGCGCGCCAGGCGGTTGTGGTCCAGTGCTAGGGCAGTGAGGAGGGGCAGCCCAGCCAGGAGCCCTGCTGGCAGGCTGGAGAGGTTGTTGTGGCTCAGCTGTAGTGCTGTCAGTGCTGCCAGTCCCTGGAAAACCTCAGTGGGCAGGTGGTCCATGGCATTGTGGGAAAGCACCAGGGTCTGCAGTGCCGACAGGTTGGAGAAGAGCTCCCGGGGCAGCGTCTCCAGCTGGTTGCGACCCAGTGAGAGGTGAAGGAGGCCGGGTGTGCCAGTGAAGAGGGTGGCAGGCAGGGTGACCAGGTGGTTGCCCTCCAGGCTGAGGACAGTGAGGTTGAGGAGACCAGTGAAGATGTCGGGGGCCAGGCTGCCCAGGGCGTTGTGCTGCAGCTGCAGCCACCGCAGCCCCCCCAGCCCGCTGAAGATGCCGGGTGGCAGCTCCTCCAGCCGGTTACCATCCAGGTGGAGCTCAGTCAGCTGGCCAAGTGCCCTGAAAGCGCCGGGGGGCACCCGCACCAGCAGGTTGTCGCTGAGTTTGAGGAGGCGGAGGGCAGTGAGTGGGGCCAGCAGCCCCTCTGGCAGCTCAACCAGGACATTCCGTGATAGGTCCAGGGCCTGGAGCTGCCGGAGTGGGTGGAAGATGCCAGGGGGCAATGCCACAATCCTGTTCCCTGACAAGCGCAGGTCCTGCAGGCTGCATGCAGCAGTGAAGAACCCTGGCTGCAAGGAGCTGATGGCATTGGCACCCAGGGAGAGCTTGCTGAGGTTGGTCAACCCCATCAGCACCCCAAGGCTGACTGCTGGCAAGGGGTTTCCTGACACCTCCAGCTCGGTCAGGCTGGGCAGCCACTGAAAGGCACCGGCTTCCAGCTCCTGGATGTTGTTGTTGAGGAAGACCAGCTTGGTGAGGGTGGTACTGGTGCCCAGGGCCCCCCTGCGGACACTGCTCAGGCCTGTCTCCACAAAGAAGAGCTGTGTGGCACTGCCTGGCAGGCCCGCCGGGATCTCCCGCATCCTCTCGTCTGAGCAGAAGACTTTGGAGGTGTCGTAGCACTGGCAGGTATGGGGGCAGGATGGGGGCAGCCCCCTCACCAGCAGGGACCCCAGCCCCAGCAGCACGCAGATCACCACCCTGCACTGTAGAAGGATCCAAGCCTCACCCCCTGCCTCGACAAGGCAGAAATCTGCACCCACAGGCAGGAATGGGGAGTGCTTCCCTCCCACATCTCTCCCCAGGGTTCTTACCCTCTGTCTCAGCCTGCCATACTACAACTAGAGTGGTGCCACCCTCACCAAAGATCCCCACATCCTGCAGAGCAGTGACTGAGGTGAGACCCATGTGGGTCTGTGGAAGGAAACTGTCTTGGTGGGAACCTGTAGCCTCATGAGATGTCTCCAAGGGCACGAAGCCAGGCTCAGGGGCAGGGGAGCATGTGAAGCAGAGGGCTGTGCTGCACACAGTGGGTGATGGGGACAAAGCTGAAGGGCTGCTCTGCGTCAGGGGCAACAGAAGTGGGCTCCAGCAGTTGTATTTCCAATTGCCCATCGGGTACTTCTTTTGCCACAAGCAACTAGAGCAGCATTAAATGTCCCCAAGGGATATTCAGCCTGATCAAATGCCTATTCCCAGCCCATGGGAGGCACTTTTTGAGGCAGTGACCTCCAGACCTCTGCCAGTCCCTCCTTACTTGGGATACCCGCCAGTGCTGCCTCATGGTGGGGAATGTTGCCCAACCCCTGCAGACACCCCTCATCAGTGGGGCTATCCTGGACTTACTCCGACACTTGAGAGCAGCGCTGGGCTTGGCATTTCCTTTCCACCACCTCGCTTGTTTTCACCAGAGCCAGCAGTGGCTCCCACCTGTTCCAGGCCCCCCAAACTACCCAAGCACTGTGGCCCCACCACTTACCGAATGTGGCATCGTGGAGATGGTCAGCAAACCTGTGCAGGTTTGCAGGGATGCTGCTTGCTGAGATGGGACAGTGTTTTCTGAGGCGGATGGGAAGCCAGCAGACGAGCTGTTCCTGCTGGGGCGGAACTGCCCCTCACTGCTTATCGGCAACAACAACCCGTGTCCTTGGAATACTGAAAAATAACCCAACCCTGGAGGACTGGAGGTGAGGCCAGAGGCAGCCGCCCGTGAACATCCTGGCAAGGAAGTGGGGTCTTGGCCCCGGACATCCACTGGCCCAGGGACAGTGACAGGGGTGGCTCCAGTTCCACACTGAGGTCAGCAGGCTTGCTTCCAGAAACCCCCTAGGACAGCCCCAGGACTTTATTAATCTCACTGGGAAATGATGCTAGAAGCATCTGTGACACGAGAGAGGGGACCAGGCACAGCTTAGCAAGGCAAATGAAGGTTGGACTATATGATGTTAGGGTCTTTTCCAACCTTAATGATTCCATGATTCTGTGGGGAGGGGACCACTGTGGGACCATCATGGTGACAACAGGTGTTTTGCATCCCAGCCAGCAACAGGATGGCAAGGGACCCATGGACCAGCTGCACTCACTAGGAATTTCAACCTGCCTGGGGAAGCAGCACACAGTACAATAAGGGCTGCATTGCAAGGGCCTGTATTGGAACAGGGCAGGGTGGCAGCACCATGGAGGGTCGGGGGGGGGTCACTTTACTGCTGGCCTGATGGAGCAGACAGTGATACACAGAAAAACTCAGCTGACACAGTCCAGCAGCATCCAGCTCTGAAGGGAGCCAAGCAAGCTCCTCCCCACCCCAGCAGTAGATTGCACAGGACGCAGTCAGTGTCTCCATTGAGAAGCTCCTGTGGTATCAGCTCACTCTTCAAGAGCCATCTGCTGCTGCTGGATGGCTGAGCCCTTCTTGGTCCCTCACCCCAGGCTGGAGTCCAGGGACCAGCAAGGACTCTGCACCAGCAATCCACTAATCCTCTCCCAGCCCCACCAGCCTGTACGGGCTTTCTCTCAACACTACAAAAACCTCTTAGGAGTGGAAATCAAGCACAGTCCCTGTCCTTGTTGGGCCATTCCCCTGCTGTACACCATGAAGGAGTGAATAAACAGTTCTTGGCACTGAGGGTGGACAAAGGTACTTTAATGGAGAGGTCACACATCAGCACCCAATGGCCCCATGACACAGTCCTGTGTCTTCTGCTGCCATGCAGGACCCAGCCCAGAGGAGTGACCCATCATGTGCACCAGTGTGAAGCTGCTTGTGCCAGCACTGCCTCCTGAGCTACTGTGAGCAGCCAGCACTATGGGGTGGCCACCGAGTGTGACCCTTGTCCCATGGCAGCAATCCTCAGGCAGCCTGGTGCCACTGCAGCACACATGGAGGTGAGCTGGACTCCTCTGTGGCAGTGCTACAGCTGGAAAAGGCTGGGTGTTCACTGGATGCAGGTGCTGGGCGGGCATGATGTGGCATCCATTTGTGACTTGCAGAGCAGCTAGTGCTTGCTGACCCCTCCACTGTGTGCTGCCAGCATTCCCACTGCCCAAGGGCTGTGAACAGGCAGGGAGACTGGGCACATACAGGCAGGGCACTCTAGAGAGGAAGAAGAGTGTGAAGAAGCTTTGCCAAGCAGAAGAGGAACGGGCTGCTCACTAGCTGGTGGAGGATGCATGAGGTATCGAGGACCAGGGATGGGCTGCAGCAGGAGCAGCCCAAACATGCTCCAGGTGCCCGGGGACATAAGCACAAGAGTCTCTCCCAGGCCCTGCAGACACTTCACACTCCTCTAACTCCCCCTGCAGTGGGGCCAGTGCCAGGCCCCCCAGCACCTCATGGGCCTGAGGCAGGGCCACGGCACGGTCAGCACCAGTGTGCAGTGAGGGCTAGGGGGCTGCCCCTACCCCACTGACGCCAGCACACTGTCCCGTGACTCTCCTGGCTGGAAGTGCAGGAGGGGAGCAGGAGGATGTCGGGAGCAGGAGAGGATGCTGGCTGTGCTCTGGCATGCCCTGCCTGCAGGCAGGGAGGGCAGCTGGGACGCGGCTGAGACACTCAGGGTGTATCAGTCTGGCAGCAGCCCTGCCCCGCGGGGAACCCTGCCCGGGCACAGGCGAGTGACGGCGCAGCACAAGGACACGGAACTCTCCCGGGGCGAAGGTGCTCGCTCGGCACGGCCTGACGGCTCACACTGCCTGTCCAGGCAGGGGCAGGGGGAAGGCATGACAGAGGCAGAGGATGGGGAAGAGGGGCTGGGCAGGGGTGAGGTTAGCAGGAAACACGAGAGGAGCAGCACTGCAGGGAAGGGTGCAAGCTGAATGATGGGGAAGTCCTGTTATTTGGGGTAAGCACCATCATTACCAGGCTGTGGCTCCTGGCTCAAGGGATCCCTCTCAGCACCTCACACCCTAGCTGCCGGATCTTGGGCAGGGAATGAGCATAGAGGCTGCACTGGAGGCAGGAGGGGCTGGAGATAGAGGGCAGCCACAGGAGATCACCCAGGGGGATGCCCTGCTGCAGAGCAGGGGCAGGGCAAAGCAGAGAAGGACAGTGGTCGGTACATGCAGCATACAGGGTGATGCTGTCTCATCCCAGTCAGCAAGGGCAGCTGATGCAGAGCCACTGTCATGTCCCTTGGCCACACAGAGAGAGGATGCCCCATGAGCACCTCTCCCCCCAGGGTCTGCCAGACACTCAGGCTTCATTCGGTGCCTTCATCCTCATAAGCACAACGTGGCTCTTCTTCCTACAGCCATAGACCACCAGTGCCACCAGAGCAGCAAGCAGGGCCACACACACCAGCACGATGACTGCCACCACCACTCCACTCTGTATGCGTGTCAGCCCCCACTGCCCTCTCTCCTCCTCCTCTTCCTCCTTCTTTTCCTCCTTCTCCTCCTCCTTCTTTCCCTCCTTCTCCCTCTCCTCCTCCTCCTCCCGTGGGGAGATCGGCAGCCCCGCGGGGGGCTCCGTCCAGGCGCCCTCTGGCGATGCTGCCTCAGAGCTGTGAGCAGGAAGGTGGGTGCTGGGATGGGAGGAGGCAGTGGGGGACTGAGTGTCGAGGAACTGGTCCCGTGGCAGCTCAGCGATGGGGGTGCCCAGCAGGGCAGGAGGCTGGGCACACAGCGGGGGTGTCTCACCCACCTTGTGGGGATTGTCCTCCAGCCAGCCCTGCAGGGGCAGGATGCCCTCGTCACAGCGCCAGGAGTTGTTATGCAGCCTCACCTCTCGCAGGGTAGTCAGGGGGGAGAAGATGCCGGCGGGCAGGTACTCCAGGGCATTGAAATGCAGCTGCAGGCGTTGCAGCCCAGGGGTGGCCCGGAAGAGGCTCCGCGGCAGCGCCTGCAGCTGGTTGTGGTGCAGGGAGATGTTCTGCAGCTTGGGCAGCCCCTCCAGCACCCGGGCATCCAGGCGGCGCAGCGCATTGGAGTGCAGCGACAGCTCCAGCAGCTCCCCCAAGCCCTGGAAAGCCCCCGGTGCCACCGAACGCAGCCGGTTCTTGCTGAGAACCAGGAGCTGCAGCTGGGTGAGATTGCTGAAGACGCCAGTGGGGAGGCTGGAAAGCTCATTCTCGTAGAGCCACAGCTCCCGCAGGTTGGGCATGGGCCCAAAGGCACTGGGGGAGATGTCCCGCAGGCGGTTGACATGCAGGGTGATCTTGGCAAGGGAGTGCAGGGGCAAGAAGATGCCACTTGGCAGAGTGGTGAGAAGGTTATTGGACAGGTAGAGCTTCTGCAGATTGGTGTTGTGCACGAAGAGCTCCGGGGACAGTGTCTCCAGCTGGTTCTGGTGCAGCCCCAGCTCCTGCAGCTCTGGCAGCCCATCAAAGGTGCCCGCTGGGATCTGCCGGAGCCGGTTCTCGTAGAGCCGCAGCACCTGCAGCCGTGCCAGCCGCTCGAAGGCCCGGGGCGGCAGGCGGTCGATGTTGTTCCTGGCCAGGTTGAGCTTGGTGAGGCTGGTGAGCTGGTCGAACACCCCCTCCTGCAGCTCCTGCAGGTTGTTCCCATGCAGCTGCAGCTCCTTGAGGTTGCTTAGGTGGGTGAAGTGGGAAGGCTCAACCTGGAGGATCTGGTTACTGGAGAGAAGTAGAGACTCCAGCTTGTCCAGAGGCTCGAAGACCTGCACAGGGAGCTCCTGCAGCTTGTTGCTGGCCAGGCTGAGGTAGCGCAGGTCTGGCAGGTGCTGGAAGGCCCCAGGGCTTATGTGGGACAGGTTGTTCTTCTCGATGCGCAGCCCGATGAGCAGGGAGGCGTTGCCGAAGGATGCCTCACCCAGCTCCGTGATGCGCGTGTTGATGATCTGAAGGGTCATGGCATTCGCAGGGATGGGGCTGGGGACCATGGTGATGCCGGCACCAGAGCATTCCACCTGGGCGCTGCGGACGCACTGGCACTGCTCTGGGCACTGGCCACTGGCCAGCTGGATGCCCACCAGCAGCAGCAGCCACCGCTGCCAGTCTCCCTGCTCCATTGGGCCTGCAAAAACAAAGGTGGGGGGTTCAGCCCCTGCAATTTCCCAGCTCCCAGGGCCACTGCCAGGGGTGGGTGCTGCTTTCTCCCTGCAAAAGGCCACCAAGTCTGTGGCCATTCTGTCCCCAGCATGGCAATGAGGCAGAGGAGGGCAGGCAAGGAAGGTTGGGGGCAGGCAGGGCTTGGCACAGCCCAGGCAGGAGCACAAAGTGAGACAGAGCTGGGGGCCACAGTGCCTGGCTGCCATACCACAGCTATTAGCGGCATCCCTGGCATCCCACCTCTCTTGGCTCCTCTGGCAGCCGGGAGCATGGTTTCCTGTTTTACAGAGTGTGATGAGCTGCTGCCAGCAGCACTGCCTCCTGGCATGGCCAAACAGCCCAGACCTTGACCAGAGCCAGCCTGGGGCACCCACAGCCACACAGGACCCAGGGTGCTGGGTGCTCCCCCCGGCATCCACGAGCGCCCTTCCAGCTCTGCCTTGGCAGCGAGCAGCCCTGAGCGTCTTTTGCAGAGCCAAGAGCAGTGCCAGCCCCCACTGCCCAGGCACGCTTTAGCTCCAGTCCTGCAGGAGCTTGGGTCAACAGGACTCTTGCCAGCTCCCCAGCACAGGCTGGGTACAGAGGTGGCCCTCTCTTCACCCCATTCCCAGCAGAAGGTCTGAGCCCTGGC